GGACCTCATAGAATACCAGCAGCTAGGAGAGTAGGAGTAGTCAGGAAGGGATTCCATTGTCCTGGGTAGAAACCAAGAAGGAAGGTATCATTAGCCTCGCCTCTTTGCACCTGCTGTGCCCTTGTGTACAGAGGCTGTGAGGATCAGTTTCCATGTGGCCCTCCCATGGGGGACCAGAAGGGAGCTCCTTGAAGTTTGGTCACTGGTTGGCCCCTTCTTGTAACTCAGTACCTACAGTAGTAACATGTCCTAATTATTTGTAAGTTGGACTGGTGAGCAAGGAAGCTGTGGGCATCGAGGGGCTCTGGGAGCAGAGGTAGGTGCTAGCAGACTCAGGTACAATGGGGCTCAGGAGGGCTCTGGGCATGGGACTCAGCCACCATGCCCTGGGAAAGTCTTTCCATGGTTTCCCCTCCCCTGTTGAGGCAGCATAGAATAAGAGGAGAATTTTGGAGACATGAGAAAGGAAAACGAGCTCCCACCCAAGCATCAACTTGAAGCCTCTAATCAGCAACAGAACAAGAATTCCAACACAATTAACAAAGGCTTAAGGCCTTTCTCCCTTCCCAGTCACAAACTGCAATCTTCTAGGAATCTCACCAGAAATTCCATTTACAAAGAAAAGACACATATTCAACTCCTTGTTCAACCATAATGGCTTCTGGGTTTTCCCCCTCCTCTTACTAAAATAGAAACATGTTAGTGTTCATGACATATTTGTGTATATGTGTGCGTGTGCCACAGTGCACACTTTTACACCTTCATGTGAGTTCTAGAGACTGAACTCAGGTGGCCAGGCTTGTATGAGTTTTTGTTTTGTTTTGCTTTTAACTTAACTTTGCTGGTTGAGTCATCTTGCTGGCCCTGGCTTCTGGTTTTACCTTATCAGATTATAATTTTATCCAGTGCATCTCTGGAGCTACCCCATGTCTCATCTTAAAAGAGGGTGGGGAGGGAGAAGGAAAAAGGGGTTTCTTGGCAGCCTTTTGAGATGTAACTTGAAAGCCAATAATATATATATATATGTGGCTAATGCTAGGACATGAATTGCTTACTCTCCCTTGAGGAGCCTATGCTCACACTTGGGCACATATTACCCTACCTTACTTCCCCTTAGGAAGAATACTCTCCCACTTTGGTATGTCTTTTTTCTCCTAGGCTCCTCTGTCTCCTAACCTTCCTATTTAAACCTCTATTAAAATCTCCTTAATAAAAACACCAGCTGTGCTTCACAATTCCAGGTCGTTCTGAAATTCTTTCTGTGTTACAGCTAGGAATCCCAGCTTGACTTCAACCAATGTTCCTAAAACTTAGGGGGCACTCCTCAGGATGCTGAGAGTGACAGTGTGGGTCTGTGACTATCTCGCTACTGACACAATCTAAATTCCTGGGAAGCAGATGGTTTCCAGCCTGCTGTGAACAAGCATTGATGCAAGCTGTCATCCGTCTTCCTTCAGTTCTTCCTGCTGAGCACATGGACTGGAAGCATCCTGGCCTGCCCCAGGTAGTACTCCACTGGCTGGTGGTGGCTTCATAAAAACAGGGAAGGCCTCACCGAAAGCAGCGGCCACCCCAGGAGCAGGCAAAAAGCTCTCTAAAGAGCTGCTAGAGAGAAGAAAGGCCAGAGAATTGTAGGGATGAAGGCAGAAGTGAGGGTAGGGCCAAGGATGGGGGTCCAGGTAAGGCATGCTCTGTAGCATCACATAATGAAAGGAGATGAACTGAAATTCACTCTCATGACCACTTTATTCTGTGCTCAAATGGAACAGTGATCTTATAAACTTCAAGTGCCATGGTGAGTCCAAGCCATGGCTGCCTGCTTTCGCCTTGCAAAATGAAGGTCCTATTCTGGCTCTCTCTGATAATTCAGAGACTGTTCCTTTAATGAAGGAGGGAAAAGTAATGGCAGCCAGCTACTCCAGTGGAGGGCAAGAGGAGTTGAGGGACATCCAACTCACATCAGCATCAGCACCAGGTGGGTGGAGACCAGTTCTGCAGGCCAAGAAGCCCAGCTTATCAATGGCTCAAAGAAGTCTGTGGGCTCATGCTCTCTAAGCTGATAGAAATGTGTGGTAAATCCATTCTTCCCCAACGTTACCCACATAGGAGTCACCTGGGGTAAGGCCGGAGGGAGGCACAAGTCTCTTCACAGTACAGGTTTTTGTCAGTGTGGCTGGGTTTATAGCCCCAATCATACTCTGAATAGCTGTGATGGAAACAGGAGCCCATTTAAAGCAAACAAACAAAAATGTTGGGTGCCATTCATCTCTCAACACCAGGGACAGTGGAGGGATCATGTGGCTCAGAAAGAGAGCCTTGTCCTCCAGGCATGCTGTGCTCCACTCAGGACCCATGCCTAGCTGCCCTTCAGCTTTCTTCTTCTCCCCACAGGGGCTCCCATGCTATCCTTTGGTGAAGCCTGGAGTCTGGGTGTCACCAGAGGTTTCCCTCCATTGCTGAGGTCTTTCTCAGAGTCCTAAGTGCCATTCTGAGGTGTTCTTCCTAACCTTATTCTCTGAGTCACTGTATAAGAACTTAAGAGAAACCAGCTGTGGTGTTTTCTGTGATAAATAAGAGGATTCATACTTAGAAAATAAATAACCCTATCTGGAAGCCAGAGAGACGTCAGAGAGTGTTGATGGCATTGGACTGATACCTGTGGCCCCTTTTCCACAGCCTGCCCAGGCCTGCCTGAATGGCATCTGGATCCTCAATCTATGGGTTTCTGCTGCGTTCCAGCAGGGCCTGGTTTCACTGGAGCTGGGTGTTTAGACCTGGACCTGGTCACGATCAGATGCACACTAGCCCAGGGCTCTGGCAGCTGAAGAGGCACCAGTGACATGAGTTGGTCATCTGTTTGGCTTTGTTGTGGCAGAGACCAGGCTTTCTCCTAATACTCTCTTCATTATAGTAAAAAATAAAAATAAATCACAAGATACTGTCGAAAACAAAAATTCCAAGGATGCAATTACTTTAAATTTACAAAGCATTTTCCAGAGTAACTTAGAGCAGTTCTCAGTATTCCTGGGCATTTCTCTGGTCATGGGAGGAGGGAGAGGGGTGCCTCCAGCTCTAAGGGTGAGATCTCTTGGGAACTAGCCACTCCGTGTGGCCACACATTTACATTCTACACTTGAGACTGTGTGAGAGCCTGTGAATAAGGTACCTTCCCTGCCAGAAAACGGAGCGAGATTCCAGGGGTATAAAACCCAATAGACTCCTTCTTTCCTTCCTCTTTCTTCCTTGTTCATTTGTAATGTTTCACTAGAAAGCCCAAGACACAAGCCACTTGCCCCCCTGGCCAGGGAGCAGGGCCAGTGATATGTGAGGTCAGGCTTTGAGGGGTGATGCTTCTGACAATAGAAGCAGACAAAGGATGAACAGGAGTCCCCCAGGCTTAGGAAGGACACTGGCGATTCATGCGTTTCTTCTCCACCGCCAGTCTCACAGCCTGAATGAGCTTGTCTTTGTTATTGAGGATATTATACTCCGTGAGTTTCACCAGCTTGTCGAAAGCGGCCTCTGTGTACGTCAGCTCCTTGGTGGCATAAGGAGATTTGGGGCCATAGATGTTCAGCTGGCCCTGTTCCAGCTCCTCAGGACTTCGTTCTACACCTTGGGGCAGGAGGATTTGCTATTGAACCTTATTATGGTAGGTTGTAAGGACTTGTTTGCCCACACAAACACACTTATATGCATGCACATTCACATGGGTACACACACACACACACACACACACACACACCTTAAAGCATAGTTTAACCATTTGAAGATTCCACATAGTTGGGTATCAATAAACGGTAAATGACTAGAAGTTCAGGAGACCATGCTGCCAGCTCATGGGGGAGGATGGAGGGAATTCTCTGGGTTCAGACTAGAGCTAGGCCAGGCCTCCCCTTTGGGATCATCAGAAGATTCTATAGGTCTAAAAACCGGGCCTTCCCCTGGCAGAGGCCGGGAGCACAACATAGAGGGAGCTTACCTGGAGCCTTGTACTTCTGGAAGGTGTCATTGATGAGTGGGAAGTAAGCCACAATGGGGGTATCAGGCTCCTGGGGATTCTCCATCAGGTAACATTCCTTGAGACTTTTGTCATCCTCCTGGATGGAGTAGCTGGGGAAGGGGATGTTCTGCGTGGTGCAATACTCACAGGTTTGCTTCAGGGGCTGTAACATCACGGGAGAACACTTTAAGCATTGGAAGCCTGGGGGTGGGGGAGCCACACAGAGTTCCTGGGTCTGGTTTCCTGATTTTTCCTAGCTAGCCCTGGTCCCAAACTGCTTTGCCAATGTGTGGTATTTTTAGAAGAAAGCCAGTCAGGACAAAAGGCCCAGGCAGTGGGCCAGTGCCCATCCAGATGAAAGCTCCTTCCCAGAATGAAAACACAGAAGCCCCGCCGATGCTGCTGCTGCTGCTGCTGCTGCTTCCCCTGAAGACAGACTTGGGACACAGGGGTGGTCTCTGTGAGACGGATGGACGCTGGGGCCTGGTTGCCTGGAGTCCTGACTGGCCACTCAGAGATTTTAAAAGTGACAATGTCCAAGGGCTGGATTTTGAAAATGTACCTTTAAAGTCACAAAGAGCCCTGAGTCCCATAACTGGCTTATTTACATGTGTCTCCAGCTAGCTAATTAGTCTTGGTCCCCTCCTCTGTGACCTACGGATAATAGCATCTGTGCCATCTACCACAAAGAACTGCTGCAAGGCCAGGTGAGATTCTGGGTAGGGAAGCACACTTGTCTATTTACAACCTAGATCACGATTATTGCTTTCACTCTAGTCTATAATTTCTTTCTATTCCTGGCTTTAGAATGGGGTTGTATCAAAGTCAACCAAAAAAAAAAAAATCCTAAAAGAAACAAAAACCAAAACCCAGAGTTTTTCCTTAAAGAGAAAATAAATAATAATAATAACAATAATAATAAATACTACCATGGCCACCTGTTTAATCATATGGAGGCCCTGTGATAACATGGACCCTGGGATTATTTTGAAAACAAGATATTACAAACTCATCAAGTTTTTTTCAGCAAGTGCACCAGATGCTTAAAAGCAATAATAAAATTGCTATTCATTGAGTTCAGGCAAAGCCCAAGTCTCAGCATGTGAGAGCTAGCTATTTGCCAGTGAGGTTTGGTCCTCTGGCCCTGCATCGTGCTGCACAACAGAAGCTCCTCTCATGCAGTCCCAGAGTGTGCTAGCAGCATACATTCTCCCATATTACAGCTGCTCAGGCCTCTGAGGTAGTGCCACCGACTCTGTGGCAGCTGGGGATGGCACCGTTTCTGCTGTACTTGCCTTTGTCTGGGATCCTGCACAGTAATTGAGGTGGATGATAAGGTCGATTTTCCTCTCTGGCCTGAGGAGGGGCGCGTAGCTGGAGTTGACAAAGAATGCGGTGTCCAACAGGTTCAGATGTTTTGTAAACTGTGTCAGCTGGTTTGGGAAGGTGTCCAGCACTGTGTCTGAAAATCAAGCCTTCTAGTTAACATCCTACCCGGTGCTCTGATGTCAGCTATGGTGGGGTGGAGGCACTGAGTTCCCTGCTTGGAGCTCTTTTATCTTCAGTTTGAGCCTCTAGCCCCCCACATTCTCTCTAGGACTGAGTCCTACTTCTCCGGATGGGCTGACATAAAGTGGCATGCTTGTGCAGCTTTAGCAACTCTTCTCTGGTTTATACATGCAAACCTGCCATGACCCGTTTGTAGAGCTTGAGGAGAAGCAGGGACTTAACACCCTATAAATTAGGGATACCCACGGACCCAGACACATCTGCCCATTTTGTTCCAGATAGTGAGGACAAGAATAACAGGCCAGACTGAAGGTTGTGGCCAAATAAAACATCGAAGATTTCCTTGTGGTGGGAGAGGAGGCACGCTAGACCTTGTCCCTGAAGCCTTAGCAAAGAGAGGCATACAGAATCAAAGTTATTGGGTTGTGAGGCTGAGCTAGGCTGTACTTGCTCAACTGCAATGGAGGTACCACTCAAAATGAAAGGTGTTCCCAAAAAGATATTGCCAAAAGAGACCACGATTCACTATTTGTACAGTGGGGCCAACTTCTGCAGCTGTGATTGTTGCTCAGACTCTGCAGTTAGTCAATTAACTAATGCCGACATTGCCCCCTGCTGGCAGAGGCATATTCATTCAAGCCCTCAGCCATAAATGGACTACTCCTCCCTCGACACACCCTTGTCCAAGCTGGCTGTGTTTCTACCCATTTACATGACCAGAGACAATCTTTATCTATGGCAACTTCAATACTTATTTCTCCTTCCTCCTAACACAGCTAGCCTCGGAAGAGCACTCAGGTCGGAGTACCTTTCCACATAGAGAACTGCTTGTTCTGTAGGTAGTCAGTATGCAGTTGCATTCCATACAGGAAGTTGTGAAACTCAGACACGAAGGACCTGTGTGTGAGGATTTCTCGGAAGGTGTTGGACAGCCATGATGCTGGGATCACTACTCTGGTCTCCAAGGGGCTAGCATCATTACATCTAGGGATTTCAGGCAGGAGTGGATCATCTTCTGTGGGGGAAGGGATGGAGGGCAGGTTACAAAAGTTGGGGTAGCACCTGATTGCTTGAGAGTAAGCCACTTTAAGTGCAGTTCACACCTTCTTTGCCCAAGCCCTGGCCCTGAACTCAAGAGGACTTAGGACCAAGGTATGAGACAAGGGTAGGGAGGGTATGGAGAGGGACAAAGAGAATACCCAGGAAGGAAGGCTCCAGAGAGGAAGGTGAGCCCAGAAGTTTGGTTTTACTCTGCACTCACAGATCCCTAAGACCATCAGCTCTCTGGATGTTGGAGGTATCCTTCTGGGCCTTGGCACAAGTACCACCTGTGCCCCCACCCCTGCCATCAGTAAAGGAAAATGCTCTAGCCCAACTGCCTTCCCTTGTCTGGATCACGGGGATGATACAGAAGCAGTGACAGGCAACCAACCAGTCCCTAGTTCATGATCCATACACTATAGATCCATTACCCAAGAGGGGAGGCCAGGCTGTCACCCACCGATATCATGATGTTTCTCCCTTATCCACCTGTAGTAAAACTCCTCTGAGGTGTGAGACAAATTCCAGGCGTCAAGCAGGTTCAGGGAGAAGATGCTACTCCACAAACCTGGAAAAGCAGAGAAGCGGTGAACAACTCTCCCCAGGCTCCATGCCCCCTCACCCCAAAATCTCACAGGTCCATCCTTAGCCTCCATGTCTACTCCAGGCCAGGCTGCTTGTAGATGGAACAGACTTGGACTTCTATCTTTCATTGAGCAGTTCCAAGCAATGATTGATGGTGCCAGTCCTTGGCTCTTTTTTCTCCCTTCCTTCAGTGCAAGGGGCAGGAGAGTGCTTAAGACAACAGCTATAGCAGTGGGGGTGCTGACAGCTGACAGGTTCAGGCTTTGAGTTCAAACCCAGTTCTACCTTTGCATTAGTTCACACTGAGAAAGCACTTAAGACACTAAGCCTTGCCAGTCATTGGTGGCGCATGCCTTTAATCCCAGCACACGGGAGGCAGAGGCAGGCAGATCTCTGTGAGTTCGAGGCCAGCCTGGTCTCCAGAGTGAGTGCCAGGATAGGCTGCAAAGCTACACAGAGAAATCCTATCTCGGAAAAAAAACAAAAAAACAAAACAAAACAAAAAAGACAGACACTAAGCCTTGACACACAGAAGACTAGCTCTTACTTTTTAATGTAAAGTTTATATACTAATACTATAAGGTTATATAAAACTTACATAATAATCCTATGAAACAATAGTAATAAAACTAGATATGGTAGTTCACACCTGTAATCCCAGTAGGGAGGCTGAGGCAAAAGGATCGACAAGAATTTGAAACTAACCTAGGCTATATAGTAAGCTTCAGACCTACGTGGGCTACAGAGTGAGACCCTATTGTAATGAACCATACTAACATATTTATTTAAATTCCTCACATGGACATGAAAAAATTTCTTATGTGGACATGACAGGTCCAGAGAAATTAGGCAACTTCACACAACTAACAAGTGAGGAACCAGAGTTCAAGCTGAACTATAGGCTTCAGAACCATATGTGCTCTAGACTAGGGACTCAGGGAAGAGGAAGGAACTGTGTGCTGCGGACTTCTGTGTGGACTTCATAGAAAAAATGGGAATCAAAGAGTTAGACTTTCTAGAATGGGTTGCTTTGGAGTAAGTTGAATATAGACATCCTATCTAATTAAAAGAAGTTTAAATAGCTGTTCTGGAAGCCATAAAGAGAGGCTCATTTTCTGAGGCCATTTTTTGCAGATAAGATTCTGAAGCAAAGAACTAAGACTGGATGTCACAGTTGGACCCCTGCACTCAGTGACCTTGCCTTCTCAGGAACCAGGGAGCAAAGAACAGGGAGCTGGTCTAGGCTTTCCCAGTGGCTCTATCCTTTCTGCTGAGGTTCTCTCTGCCTGTCCATCTGAGGGCTGAGTCTTCTTTGGAAGCAGGCACACTGCTGCCTGGAGCCCGACAGGGAGAAAGGCAGGGTGGTGATTTTCAACAGCCTTCCATATCCAGGCTGCTTCTGGTAGACCTAGGTAGACCACAGGAGACCAGGGTGCTGGGAGAGTCTTGTAGGGCTGTTACAATCTGTATGTAGGTTCAGGGGCTCTCCTGGATTAATGTGATGTGGCAGAACCGGGAAGTTCAAGAGTTGAAGGCGAATCAAGGCAACCAGCACTGGGACAAGATTCTCCCTGTGATGCCACTAGTCAAAGGCAGGCCTGGCCAGCACTGGGGCCCAGTATCCTAGGGAGTCACCTAGCATGTAGCACATTTCTGGCTCAGGAATCCTCTTCATCAGCCGCCCCATGAAGAACTCCGAGCCAAATAGTTCGGTGGGAATGAAGGCCCCATACTTCTGCATGCCCACCTCATAGGGGGAGAACTCGAACCATTCTGCACACAGGGAGCAATATCAGTTTCAGGTTGGGGATTCATCCACACAGCCCTCCCCCTCACCCCCAGCCCACCAGTGCTGGCTCCAGGGCCACAGGGAGCTTGGAATAACAAGGGGCAGTTCTGCTATGGAACACAAGGGGGCATTTGCTGCTGGACAAAACAGCTTTGCAAGCTGTTAGGCTCAAACTTTAGCCCCTTAAAGCTGGATAAACAGGGGCAAAAACTGACCTTTCTAGGCTTCCCTTGTGGGCAGCCTTAAAAAAAAAATCACAGAGTTTCATCCTTCACTACCATCATTTCCCACTGACCCATCAGATAAGTCCCGGAAAGCTAAGGGACACTGCCTAAGGGAAACCGCCCCCACTTATGAGGGAGAGTTCTATTTCTTGATGTGGAGATTGGCAAAGTGTGTGTTGTACCCGCCAAAAAAGGGCCCCGTCCAAAGTCACTAGCCACCAGTGTTACCTCTGAAATCCTGGTTGCTTACATCATCCTTGACATTGATGGTGAGGTAGATGGGTAGAGGGTTCTGCCCCTGGCACAAGGCAGCACGCTGCTCTGACAGTTTGCAGTCATTTTTCTGTAGGGACACCAGTGGTTAGGAGAGGTGGCTGGCAAGCAGTCAGTGAAATACAAGAGAACTATCTGAACCCATTTCCAGACTCCAGAGCCCCCCACCCCCAACCCCCTTACCGCAACTCTATAAGCTGCAGTGACTCCAGATGTCAACTCTAAAATGTACTTGGAACATATATAATATCTTCTTGGGATGTCTGGCAACACAGGCCATAATTGGGGTGGGGATGGCTCTACAATTTAAGGCTGTGTCTTGGGATCTCAGGATGTTTATATCTCAGGGGCTGGAGGATATGATAAAGGTAGGAAAAGCCACCATGGTTCCTTTGTATTGCCATTATTTACACTCACCACTGGAACCTGAGCAGCACCAGGAATTTTTGTCTTTAACTTGGTGTGTTAAGCTCTCTTAAAATTTAAAAAGAAAATCTCTCTTCCTCCCTCCCTCTCTCTTTTCTATCCCTTTTCTTCCCCCTCTTTCTCAACTGGAGGCAGGTGACAGTCTTGGCAAGCTGCAAGTCCCCAGAGTCCTGTGTTGTGACACCAGTGCAGGAAGCCCTGCAGATATACCTAAAGTGCATCAGTCAGTGCATGAGACAAAGCTGAGGTCCTAGGCACCCAGCTCTGACCATCCGTGGTTACCCTGCGCACAAAGACTCCAGAACTGGGGTGGAATGGCAAACAGGTGTGCAGCCCAACAACCCTTGGGCCTTCTTTGAAGCAAAACAGGGTGTTTATCACCACTGGACCCAGAGATCTGGGGCAATACAGAGTTTAATGTCTTACAAATAAAGCCACAGACTCAGGAAAGAGCTCAGACTGCTATTACTGTCAAGGGGGCTGGCTGGTAGGAGGCTCCTGCCATAGTCAGAGTGGAAGAACGGAGGCCTCCAAATAGCTTCCTATCTTTGCTTCTCTTCCTCCAGCCTAGTTTGTCTCCACTCTAGACCCTCAAAATGCTGGAACCTCTAGCCCAGAACACTTTGGTGTTTTCTTTTCATCACCTAGGTTGCTATTGATTATAATTGCTAAAAAAAAGTTTTCAGTGTCCGTTGTGATATTGCATGCTTTTAATCCCATCACGTGGAGGCAGAAGCAGGTGAATCCAAGCCCCTCTTCTGACCTCTATGGATATCAGGTACACATGTGGTGCACATACATACATGGAGGTGAAACACATGAACACATAAGGTGAATTTGAGCCAGCATGGTCTATATAGTGAGTTCTAGGTCAGTCCCTTGAGAGAACCTGCCTCAAAAATATTTTTTTCTCTTTGAGATGGGATCCTTTGTTTGTTTGTTAGTGAGTCAGAGTCTCTCTACATAGCCTGGCTGTCTAGAACTTGTTATTTAGACCAGGCTACACTCAAACTCACATATATATCCCTGTCTCTGCCTTCCAAGTGCTGGGATTAAAGGCATAGGCCACCACACCCGTCTTGAGATGGGGGTCTTTGAATCTGAGGCAATACTCTGCTTCACTGGTTATGGTATGTACTACCATGCTCGGCTTTTAATTTTAAAATGGTAATTACTTGCCGATGGAATTCCCACTAAGGAATATTGGATACCCTGGTCCTGCAAAACAGAGCAAGAATTCCAAATTTTATCTGACTCCAGAAGCCAGCACCTTCCATCTCTGCCCCCAACCTGTGCTTCATCATGGGGTCAGGTTAGAGAGGGGTTTTCAAAGGCAGGTCAGGTTATGGGTTGAAACCACATTTTTTTTTTCAAGACGGGGTTTTCTCTGGAGCTTTGGAGCCTGTCCTGGAACTCCCTCTGTAGACCAGGCTGGCCTTGGACTCACAGCAATCCATCTGTCTCTGCCTCCCAAGTGCTGGGATTAAAAGTGTGCGCCACCACCTGGAACCACATCTTATTCTGCTCAGAATCCTTATGGCCAGCATAACTTCTGGCATGGTAGTTAGTTAAAAGAACAAATGAGGCTGGAGAGGTGGCTCAGCTGTTAAGAGCACTTGTTGCTCTGGTTGAGAACCTCTGTGGGCTCCTCTCCTGATCTCTGTGGGCACCAGGCACATGTGGCATATACACACACAGAGGTAAAACAGTCATACACAAAAAATAAATCTAAATAATCTTCTTTAAGTTAAAAAATTGAAAGAGGAATAAGTAAATATTAAAGATAAGAGCTGGCCCAGTCTGGTAACACATGGATGTAATCCCAGCACTTGGAAGGCTGAAGCCAGAGAATCACCACCAGTTCAAGGCTAGACTGAGCTACAGTGTAAGTCCTGGACTAGCCTGGGCTATATAATGTGAGACTTTATCTCAAACCAACAACAAAAAATGAAAGTCAAGTTATTATTCATTGATCAAAATATCTCATTTCCTTTTCTTTTTGATGTGTATATATGCATGGTACGTACACAGATACTTATGCAGGTTTGTGTGGGGGGGTACTCATGTACATGTGTGTGTATGTATTCCATTGATGTCATGTGTCATCCCCTATTGCTTCCCACTTTATTTATTAAGGGTCTCTCACTGAATCTGGAACTTAACAATTTCTAGGTAGCCTGTTTACTCCAGGGATTCTGTCTCTGCCTCCCAAGTGCTGGTATTATGGGGGGCGGGGGGACTTCCATGCCTGCCTGTCTTTTACGTGGATTCTGAATGCCAGTTTTTAAGTTTGGTTACTTAAGCATTTGATCCACTAAGCCATTTCCCCAACCCAAAATATCTGGTTACTTAGCAGAGAAAACCTGTTGGAAATTATTATGCTGTCCGTCTTCCTTCTGGGAAGTTCTGGTTTGAATTCAGAGCCTCCAAGACACCTTTGGAAGTGGCCAAGATCTGGTGGCCTAGATAGAGGTAAGTGGGAAACTCTGCTTTGGTGCCAAGCAACAACCAAAGGTGGCTCTTTCCTAAAGCCTAGTGTGACAGATCTAGGCATTAGCTGAGTTTACCCTGATGTATGGGATCACATGGGACCCCCCACCCCCCCACTTCCCTCTACTACATCCCACATGGCTGGCATCAGATGTACCCCAGCACAGGAAGGCACTTATCACTCAGCCATTGACTCTTAGAACAGGAAGGAACCTTGCCAAGTCTCTTTCCTTGTGGTGACCATGAAAATGAGCCATGTAGATTTCCAGTGACCCAGAATAACATAGAAGAGCCCTAGCTGCTATACCCTGAAATCTATGGCTGTCTATGATGGGGCCACATTTCCTTGGGTCTAGTGATAACAAGGCCGGCTTATCCAGGGAACAGAATACAGTACATAGCTTTGACTAAAGGATCCACCAAATCCTTGCTGTGAGCCTTCCTAGGCTACTCAGCACTGACACAGTGCATGCTTTGACTTTTCTGTCTCTCCTCCATGTGGGATCAGACTGGAAGCATGATTGACAGCTGTTTAGCTTTGCCCAGCTTCTTCCCCATTTTCTTCCATGGATGTTTTGATATAGCTTTCAGAAGCTATGCTTCATTTATGCAGGGAGCACCCAGGCTGTCCCAACACAGGGGTCTCAGTCCTCTGAAAAGGATGTGAAAGATGACCTCTACATCTTCCCCCGGTATGTGTTTGGACACCCCATGAGTCTTCCAGCCTGAGATGTACATGCAGGTCTAACCTAATCCTTTGGCCATGGAGGTTCAGACTCTCTGAAGAAGAAAGAATATGACTTGATATCAGCCTAGGTAGGTGGACCCAGGAAAGATTGAACACTCACCTTATCTCCTAGACTGTACTCAATCAGCTTGCCCCAAAAGTCTGTAAGAGTGGTTTTGTAGCCTTCCTGGTTGTGCTGGTGGAGTTCCTCTCTCCATTTGCAGAGCTGATCTGGGTACAGAGCAGGCATCTTGTCTTTGACAACATGTCTCCGGGCCTCAAAGACAGCAGGCTCCAGGTTTTTGGAAGACCACTCAGCATCACTGTACAAGGTAGCCATAGTCCTGGAGAGAGACACACACACAGATGACAGAGCTACCCAAGCTCTGGTCTGACCAACTCCATGTCCAGACAGGACAGAAGATGGGCAGATCATGGGGAGTCCCAAACCTGGCAGAAGGGCCTGGAAGAGAGGGAATGAGAGAGGGCCTTGTGGTGAGAGGCAAACAAATGTTACTTCTCATAATTGGTTGCTCTCTCTCTTGAACGCCTATTGTACGTCAAGAATCCCATGTTGGCTGAGATTGCAATTCTGGGCCTACATCTTCCTGGGTTCAAAACCAGGGTTCTATCACTCACTAGCTAGGTAACTTTGGACAAGCTACTTAATCACTCTTTGCCTCAGTTTCCTTAACTGAAGTGGTGAGAATTGTGATTGATGTACCCCACTCATACAGTTCTCATAAAAAAATATCGCAAAAGTTACCATTGTGTGAAATGCTATAATTGTGGTGAGACAGGGCTGGGGACAACACTTGATCCCAGGGTCGACTGATTCCAGATCCCTGGATGCTTTCTGTTGTGCCATATTCATCCCCACGATTTAACTAGGATACTAATTAAAGACTTGTTTTCTGGGGCTCAGGGATTAAGAGCATTGGCTACTCTTCCAGAGGACCCTGGTTCAATTTCCAGTACCCACACAACAGCTCACAGCCATCAGTAACTCCAAATCTAGGGGATCCAACACCCTGTCTTGGCTTCTGCAGGCACCAGCCATGCACATGGCACACAGACATACATGCAGGCAAAACAGCCATGTGCATAAATGATTCTTCAAAAGATCTATTCTCTCCTTGCTTTTCCTCCTCCCCTCTCTCCCTCTTTCTCATTCTCCACTTCCTGACTTTGGTGGGTGGGGACAGCAAGGCTAGGCCCAAGGTCTTCTCTGTTTCCTGCCTGCCCCACAAAAGTTCATCAGGGACATGGCTCTTCTGAAGTGAGTTTACTTTATACTTATTTGGGAGCAGCCTTTAAACACAGGCTCTGAGCTGAGTTCAAAGTCTGGGTTTGGGGCCAGTAAGATGGTTCAGAAGGTAAAGGTGTCACCTATGTTTGATCCCTGGGACATACATGGATACATGGTGAGAGGAAAGAACTAACACACACACACACACACACACACACACACACACACACACACACACACACACACAGACACACACACACACATGCATGAGAATTAAAGAAAATTATAAGAAAGTTAAAACCACCCAGGTAATGAGCTGAATGACCCTGAGCAATGAGCAATGTTAACTCTTTTCTCCAGGTCAGTGATCCCCTCAGCTGGGGTCTGGATCTGTCTGACACTGTTGGCCTGGACCAAACTTCTGTATGCCAGCATAGAAGAGGGCTCTTCTTTATTCTGTTCCAGGGGGCTACCTGGTGGCAGAGGGATTTGTATAAGGATGCCTAATGATACAAATAGGAGCCTCCTCCTTCTTAGGACTGGTTCCAAAGGAAAATGGAAGACGGTTGGATTTCTTCTACAAATAGCACCCTACCTTCCATAAAGTTTTCTCTGTTACTTTCAGAAAGTTAGCCTAAACCCATTTAGTGCTTTATTTTATTTATTTTTCATTTATTGACAGGGTCTCATATAGGTCAGGCTAGCCTCCAACTCAGAATGTAGCTGAGATTGGCCTTGAACTCCTGATCTTCTTGCTCCTGTTTCCTGAGTGCTGGCATAACAGGTGTGCACCATCACCCTCAGCTTGCTAATCTTTGTTTTAAAAGGTACGTTCCCCGCCGGGCGGTATTAATGACATTCATCGAAACACTTTCATTAACCTACAAGCTCCTTTATTCCTTATGATTTAAATATAAATGAACTTTTTGTTTTGGACCCTGGTGCTATGCCTGCTGTTAAGGTTGACCTTCCCTGTGTTCCTTTTGGGAGTCCAGCAGCCACTTCCCTTACACCGCAGTAGAGTGGGGGAGGAGGCAGCCCCATGTCAGCTCTTCTTACTCCTTTCTGATTCTTAAGGTGGTCTGACAGGGCAGACATAAGTAGATAGGACAGTGTTGAGGGTCTGCAGAGAGGCAAGCCAGAGTGACTGGGCTAGCTCCACCCATCCTGGGAGACTGAACCCATCCCCAGGAGAGGGTGGCTGCATCTCACCAGGACAGGCAGTAATACCAGGCTCACTCATTGCTGGCCACATGTTTTTTTTTCTGGGCTTTTGCCACAGCCCCAAAGACATAGCCAATAATGGCCAATGATTACAGTGGCTCATGGCCAAGCCTATTGTCAACACCACTTTATAGATCCAGCAACCGAGTCTAAGGAATTAAACTGAATGCCCCAAATCCCACAGCTGTGCATGGCTGAGCTTTCCAGGCATCATGAGTCACTTTTACTTGGGATGGGAAAGTTCAGAGCACTACCAGATCCCAGGCCACACCCATTTGCTATTTCCTCTGGGCTCCACCAAAAATGGTGCCCAGTTTCTTACCAGGTTGCACCTGACAAGCCGGTGATGTAAGTTGAGCAGTCCAGAAGGTTCAGCTTCTGCAGCCCCATCAGGTGGCCATACAAGGCAACCATAGATCTCGCGCCGCCTCCTGTGGCCATGATGGCTATCAGTGGTACCTGTAGACATAGAAACAGACTGCTGGAAAGGGCTCCTCCACAGATGAGGATGTGGAGTGATTTAACCTTATAAAATGGGGGAAGACAGAGAGCTGGTTAGAGAGAAGGAGGGGGAAGGGATCACCTTTCATAGAGTAGTGGGTTACTTGGTAGGGCCCAGAAGATGACCATTGCTCTAAGCCCAGGGATGCCATCAGTAAGGGACCTGCTGCCTAATCTAGGCTTGCTAAATAAGAACGTAATGGTTAAAGAGTGGCACACGCCTTTAATCCCAGAACCCTGGAGGCAGAGGCAGGAGGATCTCTGTGAGTTTGAGGCTAGCCTGATCTAGAGAGTGAGTTCCAGGATAGTCAGAACTGTTACACAGAGAGACCCTGTCTTGAAAAAAAAAAAGTTTGGAGCACTCAACCCAACTCTTTGTTAATAGATGCTAATATGTGTGGATCATGGATGGTGACAGACTGACACCTATACATGGCAGTGATGTTAGGTCACTAGTCCCTGGCCTGGCATGTGGTACATGCTCAGCCTATACAGCATTTGTGAGAGCAAGAGGAAAAAAAATTCTCGCCAGGCCTTGGTGGCACATGCCTTTATTCCCAGCACTCTGGAGGCACAGGCAGACGGATCTCTGTGAGTTCGAGGCCAGCCTGGTCTACAGAGCAAGTTCTAGGACAGGCTTCAAAGCAATACAGAGAAACCCTGTCTTGAAAAAGAAACAGCCCCCCCAAAAAAACCCATTTCTGATGGGGGGGGACATAGTTTAAGGTGCCCTTGCTGTTTCTCTAAAGAGACGAAAGGGGAAACTTCCTATCTCCATTTAGTAGGGACCCTAAGATCTTTCCTAGAGCTGAAGCCCTGTCACAGCCCTGTCCCTGTCTCAGCCTACATTCTGGCTAGCCTCAGAAGCAAGGTGCTCGGGGGCCAACCTGTTCCCCAAAACAGCAGATGGAGGTGCAGAGTCCTATGATTGCCACCAGGGGAAGATTGACTGGCTCTGGGAATAGAAGAGGCTTCTCTTCAACTACAGTTGTCATTTCTAGTGGGACGGGTACATGTGCACCTTAAGAAGAAAGAGAATAAGTGGATGAAGCCTGGGGGCTGGGTGCCCTAGGAACTTGAGAATGTCTCCTGGCTGGGTGAGAATGCCAACTCAATGCTCTGTCAGTAAAACCGATTAGTTATGTCAGGATCCACCCCCTGCCCGCCCCCACCCATGTGTATGTCCGTGGCCGTGTGTCCGTGGCCGTATGTCCGTGTGTGTGTGTGTGTGTGTGTGTGTGTGTGTGTGTGTGTGTCTGTGCCGGTGTGTGCGGGGGTGGGGTGTTGGGGGGTG